GCCCCCCCCCCCCCCCCCTATACTTTTTGACCAGTCCCTTACCGTATTTATTCGAATAAGCGCCCACCTCGAATAAGCGCCCATCCTAAAGGCGGAAAAAGTTAATTAGCGCCCAGCCTCGAATAAGCGCCTACCCCAACCCACCCACTTGGGTGACGATGAGATTGAAATTGGATAAGTACTAATATAAAGAGACTTTCCCGAAGACGGAGTAGGGGTAGTTTACAGAAACCTCGCTTTGTTACATCTTCGCGTTTCCTTATTACCATTTATTGTTTTGTTGCAAAATAAACATACTACACTTGCTGAAAACGGTGTAAATTTAATAACCGCCCAGCCTCGAATAAGCACCCACTCTCAAGGCCCAAAACTTTACTAAGCGCCCAGGGCGGTTAATCGAATAACTACGGTATTTCAAGACCCTGAGTACTGACCCAGCCCCAGGAATCGAACCTACTACCTCGCTCTCTGCAGTCAAGTGCCCTATCGATTGAGTTAATCTCGCTGCGTTAAATGAATAAATGAATAAATAAATGATTTGTAGAGAGGAAATAGGCTGAAAGATTTTTTAATATAATCTTATTCTTTCAGCCTATGTTTGCACAAAAAAAAACAAATGGTAGATTCGATGCAAATCGGTGTGACAACACAAAAAACCTCTCCTCCACAATGAAAGCTCAGGAAAGCGGAGCTGGCAATGCAATAGGTCTTGTTCACGATACCCGCCGTCATGTCACGTGGTTTCTCAGACGGCAAAGCATAGAAGGTCAAAAACACTGTAAAAACTTTCGATGCACTTTTGTTACTGGGCAAGAATACTGAGTTTCAAAAGTCATTGCTGTGGAAAGGGCCTTGGTTGATAAAAAACATGACACGAGAAAACGACCAGCGGGGTACCCTTCGTGCCTAGGACTTTTCATGCGCGGTTTGCGGTTTCGGTCAACTCGAGACTTTGGCCTTTGGTCGAAGATCTATCGGTCTGCAACAGACACTGAAGTATCCACCTGCACCCGCACCCGCACCGGAGAAAAAAATCAGCAGGGTACGGGCTGGAGCAATCATTGACAAAATAAACTGCAAAATCCCCTGGTCTTCAGAAGGTTAGAAAGAAAACGTTAATTCTTCCAAATATAAATAACTCCTACCTGTGATGGAATTGATGCCATCTGCAATGTCACGAGCAACTGTGGTGGTGTATGAATCGGAAACTGTCACGGCTCTGCATCTTTTATCATCTGGAGTACCGCAATCGTGCTCCCATACGCACTCATTGCTTTCTAAACACCCGTGCGTTCTTTTGGGCCATTTATCTCCATTCTCTTGTTTTGTAGGTTTCTTGCTGCCTCCATGAGGAACAGTTATAATAAGACTCATATCACCTGTTTCATACTTGGTATAGCTTTTGAATCCCCATTCTGTTTGTCCAAGAATGCCGGACGGAAAAGTGGCAACGAGAAGAAAGCAAAGGAACAGCATCGCGTCTGTTAACAAATGCAATATATTAATTTGTCAATGCCCCAGAAACAATTGCAACAGTAAACTTCTTCATCTCTCCTAGAATCAGCTATGAATTGTAACTTATGAGGTTAAGCGACGAAAACCTCAGAATTCGTGGTTTCGCTACATTTCACCAAACAAAATTGGGTACTGCTAATTACGATAAGACAGATGAAAATTACCGTAAGTTGTACTTTGTCAGAAGTTTTAAATACACGGCCTCTCATGATCTCCAGAGTTGCCGGAACTCTTCCGAAGTTAACCCGAATTTTTTCAACACATGCCCGTGAATCTTGGTGTTGACGTACAGATTTCCGAAGATGATCGAAAGATCTTGGAGAAAAATCTCTAAAATGATGTTGCCTGGTATAAACTTGTAGCCAATTGCCGTTTGGTCATAATGGGGAGACAACACGAAGAGACAGAATGCCCGATCACACCCGAGAAATTCGAACGCCACTACGCTAACAAACCATAAAACGAAACGCCAGCTACTTCATAGTTCACCATAAATGGGGAATTTGTTGAGATGATAACTCAACTGTTAATACGTTAGGATGTCAGGGTGTTCTGAAACGACAGGTCGAATATAAGGGGCCTACTTACAAGTGCAATCACTGGTGTAAATGGTGTGCGTTGATCTCGTCTGTCTCACTTCGCTTTCGAAAGAACGAAAGTAATACCCAAGTGAGAATGCTTGCGAGAATGTGATGCTTTAAATAGGTTTCTTCCGACCTCAACAGGTCAACAAAAAGGTTGGTTACTAGGAGGGAGTTTAAGATAACCGGAAACGATAAAGGGCAATTAACTTCAGTATCTCCTTGGTGGCAACAGTTGCACTCCACATGGCAGTTTTCCTTGACAATTAATGCGTTATATTTTCATTTAAACCACGCTTGTTCCACAAAAAGAATCCAAACGAAAATGAGAAATACACTAGCTCATTAATCTGAGATGAAGCATAACACAATGGATAAAAAAGTGAAAAATTAAAACAGTATATAAAACTGATTTGCCAGCCAAATAACACCCAAACTTAAAGACAGTTCCTTTTCCTTCCGTCTTCTTCCTTACTTACTTACTTATAGCAAGACCAGATAGGCACTCTTTACATCTGTAATATATAACCGCTGTTACAACTGAATTCGTCTGTCGAATTACAATTAATACTAGTGAAAACTTGAAAGGTCACATGGCCGCTTTTCCAAGGACTGGAAAAGAACTATGATGCTTACATGAGTTTCCTACAATGCGGTTCTTCTGAAGAGTTGCTTTTCAGGGGCAGCCAACGAGAATATAATTCAAAACCACTTACACATAGCATTGTTAAACGTATTTTAGTATTTAAACGATAGATATAGGCATATTTTGATCCCCTACAATTTTGTCATCTGTTCGGATTTCCTAGCTCTTTGAAAGTCTAGTGATCCGAAAATTATAGGGATCAAAACTGGCCTTTTCGAAAATTTCAGCCAGAAAAAAGGCTCCAAAAATTCTAGGTGACCTTTTTAGGGTAAAAATCCGTTAAAAATGGGCAATTATACCATTTTTTTGGTGTGCGAAAATCCTAGGAGAGGCAGGCAAGCAAGAAATTTTACAACAAATGTTCCGAAACTTCTAGATCTGAAATCGTCTTCCGAACAGATATTTTCCGAAAATTGACTTTGGGTGCCCCTGGCTTTTCCCAAAGGCATAAAGAACATGTAGAGACCGCAAGATGCTGGTATGGGTTCCACAGTTTTCCTCGATTGCTTTAAAAATTAGCAAACCAGTGTAATACTTACTACGAGCTTCAAGAAACCTAGAAAGCTCGTAAGTGTTAAGGATAAGAGGAGTTGACGTGGATCTCAAACGACAACTTGAAAAATTTTGAATTTCAAGGTTCAGACTTCTGATGCCGTGACGTTGCCCCTCGAAATCGTCACTTTCTTCTATTTTCTTTCGTGTCGTCAATGAAACGTATAAAATAAAAATTCATTGCCTGTTGTTGAAGGGGAAAGATTATTTAACGATCTTGTGGAGTGTAACCGAGTATTGTAATCAAGGTTAGCGGCGTACAGTGTAAATGGCCTTTGTCGGTTTCCAGTTGAGCTACCCTTAGTAACACTTGATCGTTCACTTTACTTGCCGTCAAGGAAACGTATAAAATCAATGCCCATTATAGCCGGAAACGTCGTCGCTATAGATAGACGATTCGGAGTGCATCTATTGCTACACAAGGTGTCGAACTTTGTCGATTTTCCGTTTTCTTGAACTACCCTTAGTAACCGCTATACTTCACATTTTCTAGGAGACAAGGTTGGATTAAAACTGTAAAATCATTTCACGATTACTTAACGATCCAGTGGAGTGTAACCGAGTATTGCAACCAAGGTTAGCGGCGTACAGTGTAAATGGCCTTCGTCGGTTTCCAATTAAGCTACCCTTAGTAACAGACTATGTATATCTAACAGAGAAATATTCCTCATCGCCAACTTGCAAGTTTCTTGCAAGTTACATGGAGCTTACGGACCCATCAGGGTCCCTTGTGACGTTTTCTGTTCTTCAATGAAAAATATTTCTTTGTATTATCTGTAATATTATTTCTAAACAGCCGAATCTTCACTCTTTCGTTATGTTTATCTGGTAGACAAGGTAACTTAAAAACTGTAAAGTCATTTCACATTCTGGTGTAACAGTCAGTTATTTCGGTTACTTAAATTTTTCGTTTCAAGAAAAAAAAGTGACGCGATCAATACAAACCCCTCTTTCTTCTGATCGTTCACTTTACTTGCCGTCAAGGAGACGTATAAAATCAATGCCCATTATAGCCGGAAACGTCGTCGTTATAGATAGACGATTTAGAGTGCATCTATTGCTACACATGGAAGTGTCGAACTGTTTTCGAAACTGTCGAAGTGTCGAGTGTTTTCGCGTGTAGCCTTCCTACTTTCGCACGCGTTCGCGTGCTTCGCTCGTTCTATTTTCCCATAGGAAAATACTGAAAGCACTATTGGTAGTCTACTTCTGTTGGGTAAAAATTGAAAAAAAATAAGAGAATTAATGTCCGTTTTCACAACTACTGTTGGAGGAAAATCTGGAAATGTACCCCTAACAAACAGCCAAATTCATTGCAAGAAGGGCACGCACATTCCATTCGCTTACCACTTTGTAGAACTTATGTGAGAGCAAGAAAAATGGTAGACTTTCAACGCTAATAACCTGTCGACGATGAGAGCATTGTGCAATTAACGAATTTGCAACGTCTCTTCAAAAGAACTCTCTACACAAACCCTTCAGCGTGCCGCAGCTCTTGCGAATCAAGCATGGATAAAAAGGTATTTTTAACCTAGCTATCATGTTTAATCTTGCAAATAACCTGTCAAATGAATTTTAACTTTTGAAAAGTCTGTCAATACCTCTCGAACGATAATGGAAACACTTCGGGTATACCTTGGAAATCTTCGTGGGACTTCGGGAGTCCTCGGAAATCTTTAGAGTTGTTTTAAAGATGGGATGAAACACTCGTACGACTTTAGGAAAAGGTTGCGCAAATTTACATTCCTCGGAAAACTTTGGGAACAAATGCTCAACATTATTTAATCAGTGAATAAAATCGTTTGACTATGACCACTTAAGGATATAATTTTTTCGCCAGTAAGTCTTAAAGAGTAGAATCAGTAATAATTGAAGTACAGCAAATAATCAGCACCTGAACTGTGCTACAAAAAAAGCCTTTCGGGGAAAAAATGGTGATTTATGCTTTTTTAATTATTTCTTAAGCTATTTATTTCTCTTACCTTGTATTTCCTTTAACCACTATGGTTGGGTTGCGAAGACAAATTCTTTAAATGATCTCAACGTAGCCTTCACATTGCATGCCTTCAGTTGTCCTCTAATTTGTGCTTGGGGATTGCCAGTAAAAATTGAGGATAAAGGCATCATCCCGATTGCACATAAATGTTTAACGCATCAGTAGGGGTCACCACTCTCACATGTAAACCGACGGACTTTCCAAAAATTCGAGTTCCAGCGAGATGCGTTTCGCCCGAAGTTGTTTCGCCCGGACTTAAGTCGATTCGCACGATCAGGAACAATACTCTACAACACGAAATAATGATTTTTAGTTAAGCTTGGATACTATTGCTGCGAAATCTAAACTTGAAGGTCCAGCGATCTGAAAGGTCTTAATGACCTCAATAAGTACATTCGAGATAGTAAAGACTGTACATAAAACTCGAGCTCGACGCGCAAAAACGAAGTATTGAAGGCGAGAACTGCGACGAGCATGACTCCTGACATTTGCACCAAGACTCCTTCCCATATCCGCAAAAACTGAATAACTGCTTGCCGCTGTATAAATGATTCGCTTTCGATAGGTAAAGGAATCAGAGAATCTTGGTCTAGAATATGAAACATCGATGATTGAATTTGTCATAAATTCACCTTGCCCTGATGACTTTCGGTGATGGGGACAATGTTAACTTTATATTATAAGAGTTTTGACGTTTTTCAAAATTCCACCTGACCTTTGTTAAGTAACGATAGTTTTAATCATCTTTTCAACAAAAAGCACTGTCTTTAGTGTTCCAAGACACTATGTACAGTGTATTCATTGTATTTTTTGTCAATAGATAATGGTTAAATTCTTGCAAAATACCCCATGCAAAGTTCTGATTTGTCTGACTGGTATATTATCCCGCCAGGCTTGTGTTTCATCTGGTGAGAAAGTGGATTTTCTGGCCAGACTAGAGGATTAACTTGCATAATTATATCCTGTCCTCAGAGTTATTGGATTCGTAGTTTTGCAAACTGAATCACAGTTTTAGTTGTGGCCCTCTCCGCCCCCAATACTTCTACATTTTGTACTTTTCACTGACTCAACAAATTTTGCAAATTTTACAATTTTTGCAATTTTTTCAGTTTTCACAAAAATTGCAATATTCCTCTTCCACTGCTTTTCATTTACTTGCAATTTTTTTCAATTTTTTGCAGCTGCGTGAAAGCCTGGGCATATGTTTAGAAACATTGCTCTACATTCTTTCTCCACCCAGCTGTATAAATGGGCATCAGCAACATATTGCTGGAGACAACCCTGCAATGGAGTAGCAACCCATCCATAGGGGTGGGGTGCGGGGGAGAGTCTTAATACTCCACAGTGCTTCATGCCATTGAAATAGGATAAGCAAAGGCCATGTGCATCTCAATGGCTTGAAACACTCTGTAAACTTTGTTTGTGGATGATCCTGCCAGGGTGACTGATTATTGCCAAGCTGGAAGATTATCCCTCAATGCTAACACATTATCCTGCTTAAAAATGAGGATAATTCTGGCAGGCTAGTGGATTATCCAGTAATCCCAATATACATCAATAGTACAATGTTGACCAAAGTTCAGTGTCAGATCAGGTACCTTTTGTACAAAATTTTTGTATTAAATTTTGTAATACAGAAGAGTGAGAATGTTCCTACTCTAGAAGTTCAATTTGCAGCACACCTTGTATGTAAGCCAGCTGAGAATTCTACTTTCTTTGCACTATGAAGGCATCCTCCATAACTACATTTACATTTTTCATTTGAACATTAGAAATGTTCAAATCTCTTCTTAAAATAAATTTCCAAACCTCCTTCACTGCAAGAGACAGCTCACTGATGAGCCTTCTTTTTATCTCTGTGTTTCTCATCAAGTCTTCTTCAGTTTCTAAAAGAAATTATTAATGCAAGAAAACTCTATTAGACAATAAGGTAATTTTAGGAATAATGAAAAAATTCATGAAAGTCCTTTTTTTCTTCAATCAGTAACCTTGCAACTCTTCAGAACCTCTAATTTAAATGGTCCCCAATGGGTCGTAGCTCTTTAGGTTTTTGGCTTGGTTCCATTGTTAACTTTCTTTATTCATTGTTTTCCCAACCAATCTTACAAGGTCTTCCAAGAGTTGCAAGGTCACCTTTTTTTTGAAGTTTCTGCTCATGGCTACAACCCCGGGAGAGGGGGGGGGGGGCGGGGGTTTACATCAGGGGTTTCTTGCTGGGGTGTGCAACTTGGTCTTTCAACTCCTGACCTGATTTCCCACCAAAACAAGCAATTTTCGACTCACATTCTCACACTCTACAGAATACCCTAATCAAAGAACATAAAATTGATCATTTGTTTTTTTTTTTTTTTTTTTTTTGTTTTCATTTTTTTTTTTCTTTTTTTATTTTCTTCCCTTCCTAGTTTACAATGTCTGCCAAGTGGTGTATGGTTTTTTTTTTGTTGGGTTTGCTGGGCGTGGGGGGGGGGGGGGGGGGGGGGGGGGGGGCGGGGGCTTACTCCTGGGATTTCTTGGTGGGGTGTGCTACCTGGTTCTTCAAATCCTGACCTGATTTCCGACCAAAAAATGTAATTTTTGACACCCATTTTCAGACTAGAACTATAAAATCCATACCCATTTTCAGACCTGGTCTTTACCCAGAAATTATGTTATCATTAATTAGATTAGAGTGCAAACAAAAAAAATTCTTCGAATCCAACTGGAATTCGCATACTGTTCTTTCTTTCTTACTCATTTGGGATTGAAACCATAAGTACTTTCATACACTCTTTAGTGCCCTCGAAAACCATACCCGATTCCAAACCAAAATGGGCAAAGTGTATACCCGTTTTCAGACCAAAACAGCGCAAAAACCTGGCCCGATGGGGCAGCACATACCTATATAGCTTATATAAGGGAGTACCCACTACGGAGCAACAAGGCTGCCATTATCTTCAAATCTCTCACTCAAACTCTCCACTAATCACATTCACAATGTTCAACTATATTCACTATGTTCAAGAATGGCTGATGAAAAAGGTAGCACGATGGGATTACAAAGGTGTCAGCCTAAGCACTGACTTCCTGGATAAAGGACATTAAACATTTTTCTGTGTTTTGTAGAAAAACTACAGAACGACTCCCTATTTCCTAGGCCAAGAGTAGCGTGGAATCTCAGGTTTGCCTGAAAATAACCATTACTGCTTTACAGAAGTGCGCAGTGGGTGATCAACACTTAGCACTCATTTCAAGCCTGGGTTTCTTCATCTACATACTCTAAAGGCAAAGTCGGACAATCCAATACGAATAAAATAACAAAATCCCACAGAGATTTTTTTAGCACTCCTCCAAATTAATGTAAATTAGGAATATCATCAGAAAATACTGGTAAGCCTATAAGCTTACATTTTTTACATTATGATCAATGATAAAAAGTACTTATACACAATTCAGTGACAATTGTACGATTCTACACAAAGAATTGTTTGCGATTTTTTTAACTTGTGAATCAGTTTAGGCGTAAACAATTCTTAATAAACTTACCCGGAATGCCTCCTTTCTTCCAGCCTGAAAACATGATTGACAAAATGGGTCACTTTTATAAGCAGAAAAGAAGTTAATCGTCCGCCATGTTGTTTTTCTAGAAATCAGCTGACCACTACAATCGCCGTTGAGTTTACCGGAAACTAATTGGGTATAGACTCCCGGATGTATTCAGAGGAAGTGACGTCGTGACATCTACATAGCACAAGCCCACAAGCTGCTAACTAGCTGCAGATGAGCGAGTTATCAAATCGAAGATGAAGTGTTCTACCGCGAGTTAGATTTAGTCACTTCATCCTCTTTAAATATGTAAACTAGCTTGAGATATCAGCAGTTTTTTCGATGACCTGTCTTGGAAGAAAATGACCACAAAGGTGGTTTATTTCACGGTGGGTGGAAAGCCCGAACAGGCTGAGTTCTCGTCGGATTTTCCAGTGGATGAAATCAAAGGTGGGCTTTCGTTTTGTTTATGTAAGCACTTAGATCGTATTCTATTGAGTTGACCCAGCTTTGCTTCACTGAAAAGATTTAGCGGTTGTTTTACCGGCAGTGTCTCAGGAAATGTTCTTTTGCTGTGGGCAAAAATATAATATTTACACTACAAGCCTCTGTACTGTCTGTGTGCATCCACTTCACAATCTTTCATGTATAAAGATATGGTATCTTCGTTCGAGAATTTGCGATTTATTTGCCTGTTGATTCTTTTACAGAGTTGTTTCGCTGCGCGGCCGAAGCCGGGCCATATGACATTCTAAAACTCTACAACACGAAGGGAAATATTGTAAACATCTCTCCGACTATTCAAGAAAACACGCCAGAAACAAGATATCAATTGGAAGTTGTCGCTGCGAATTGTGCAAGCTGTGGGTTTTGTGGTAATTTTGATCTTGTCTTTTTTAAAATTACGAATAAAATTCTCTGTAGGTTAGTGACGTAATTGCTGGGTCATTATCCAGTTTTTATTTCCCGCTGTTTTGGCTATAGATCTCAAATACTTCTTGTTGTTTTGTTTTTATTGAGGTATAAACAACTTAGCTATGATTTCTCACCTTCTGTAACGAACCCTGTAGGGCTATAATTGCTGGAAACTTTGTTTGGAAATAGTACTATAGCTTGAAAAAATATCTGTCATTCCTAATATTACAAGCATGTCTCACTTTCTAGTGATATTGAGTGATTGATATAATAATTGCATCTGCCAGTACGAAATCTGAAGAAGGAGAAGGAAGCAGTTCAATACGCATTTATTATTTGAGCGCGATTGTTTATCTCAAGTGGAATCTTTTCTCAAGCTTACGTGCATGTGTGAGGAAAGTTGAAGTTGTGAGGAATTAAAACATATTGCTCCCAAAGGTCGACTCTTCATTCATTAGGCTTATGGACTTCCCGTTTATTTAATTTTAGCGATAAAAAACACAGGTGTCCATTGTCAAATATTCCATAGCAGATTTGTGTTGGCTTAAATTCGACCTTGATACGTGTAGATGAAAGCACTCCACTAAAAGTCGTTCGTTTCATCGACTGATAAGATTAATTGAAAAAATGTAAATAAACAGAAAAGCAATGTTCGAGTGAGAAATTTCAAAGAACACCGCGGCTAATATCTGTCAGATCAAGTCTCGTGATAATTACACATACGATATATTTTGCTTCAATATTCAATTGCTGAAATGTATCATGCAGATGTAATCCTATTCGGAAGAATGATGCAGCGTTCGGGAAAGAATTCTTATAATGAATGAGTGTGCAATAATGATACCAATTTTTAGTAGTTCGACTTAGATTCTAATTTAACGTCGTTTTTCATTCAGTTGACCAAGCTTTGAGAATTTGCATGTCATTTCTCGCCAAAATTGTTCCAGTTATAATTGATTAGAGCATGCTATAAAAGCTTTGTTGCCTGGGAAACAAATTATAAAGTCAACTGACTCTTTTAAAAGCCATGTGCAAATTGACAAGGGGCGTGAAAATAATAGTCTTCTTTTGTTACCATTGATATTTTCTTCTTTCTCCAAGAAACCTTTCTTACTAAAGTGCTTACAGCACCTGATAAGAAAAATATGTTATTTTAAGGTAAAGGCCTAATTACTCCATTTTGCCCCCAACTGGCCTCATAACAAAATAATTATATGTTTTTTGTTTTTGCACTGATAATGAAAAATTATTGAAATGTGTAAATCCCTGTTTGAATGTTCTCATTAAAAATCTAATCTCATACCTTCTTGACATCTTTTGGTATGAGAGAGTGATTCTGGCATTCTTACAAAGAAATTACTGTGTGCCTCGAACATTGGAACAGAGCCAACTCCTCTAAACTAGCATTTTTAGTGAAATTGTCAGTATTTATGAACATTGATTCTTTAATAGAGAAAACAGCTTGTTTCTAGCACAGTTTTTTTTAAGAGGGTTACAATCTAACATAAGAGCCTCTTGACATCTCTTTTACCAGTAATTACCCAAATATGCACCCCTAGACATCAGCATTTTTGAAGTGATAACAGTAAGGCCATTTATATACATAGAACATAATTCCCTTAGGATTGCAAATAGCTGTCAACAGGTCTTGCTATAGGCTACATCCCAGACAGTCTAAATCCCTGATATAGACAACAAAGTCTCTTTCTCTAGGTCTGGAGCAGGGTGCAAAGAATGAACATTTCATGCATCTTAATCTAACCAGCATTTTTTGCATCTAATTTTCCCCTCAGATTCAGAAACAGGATGCACGCTGGATGCAATAGAAACAAGGTGTCTATAACTTGAAGTATCTTATCTGTACTGCCAATCTGCAGTGGGGGGTACCCCTTTGGCACAGGGTGCTCGGCACTGAGTTAAAGAAAGAACTAGACTTGCCGAAAGGCAAATTTAACTGGGCTGCCATGGCGATTTTTTCCTGAAGGGAGACACGGGCCAAAATAAAACCTTACCAAATATAAAACCCATCAATACATGGGGTAGTGATGATCAGAAGAGATAAATCTATAACTGATCTAACCGGAAATTCCAAACATTATTGTGGGTCCATGCTTATAAAGTGTGACAGGGTCAATTTTGGTGTTTAAATACTTTTTAACAGTAATTTCCTGCTTATTAAAAATCACAAGGAAATAAAGTTTCAGTTTTATTTCTGTCAGATATTGCATTTAAAGCTCATCCTAACTATCCAAATGAATATGTTTCTATTTGACGAGGCGATCTACAAATAGTATTATATTCCTTTCTTTCAAGGAAAGACTTTTCACACGCAGGAGTTAAAACCCTACATGTACTTTACCTCCTCACATTTACAGTGTACAATGTATGTATTCAGAACACTTTGAGTAAAATACGGGTCGTGTACATAAAAAGGTATGCATGTGAACTTTCAAGGTTTATCGAAACTGGCTAATGCTACAGCTAGATGCTAACATCAATTGTCCTTGTTGAATTGGCGATCATGCACAAATTTAATGATACAGATACAAACAAAAGCAAAACCTCTGGGCAACATTGAGAACAACTGTCTGATCTAGGATGTTAAGTCACCAAACCTTGTGCTAGTAAGTTGGTATTTGAAGCTCCTGGTGAAGCTTTGTGTTCTCGAAGCTTTGCCACTTACATTGTATTTGCCCTCTTGCCAATGAGGCTATGAGATGACTTTCTTAAAGTTCCTGTTTTTGTTAGACGAGTCTTCTTTATCCTTATCCGAATTTTATACCTCCAAAAAAGCGCATGTTGCATTAAACAGAAAGAAATCAATCAGAAACAGACTCTTCAAAGATGCACAAACATACTCTATGGACCACGCAACACACTCTGGGTTACTATGTTAATAATTGATAGTGTTCGGTTTTTGACCAAGAAAACCCCTGGGGGTACTGGGGCCCACTGTAGGCAGCCCAGTTAAAAACTATTTGCAGCTTTCTACCAATCCCAAAAACAACTTGTGTTATCTATTTATAGATACTAATTTATTTTGGGAAGCAAGGAATGGCACTTGCCTCCCACCAATGTGGCCCATGTTCAAATCCCTGCATTGACACCATGTGAGGGTTGATTTTGTTGTTGGTTCTGATCTCCTTTGCTCCAAGAGGTTTTTCTCTGGTACTCCAGTTCTCCCCTCACCTCAAAAACCAACATTTCCAAATTTCAACTAGATCTGTAATGCACTGACACTTTTTAACAAGTTCCTCAGAACTAGTAAGTGCTTCGTGGGTGCTAAATAAATTTTAATAATATTGTAATATGTTGAATTACACTAAATCTCAGCTTATTAACTTTACAGGCTACAGGCTTTGGAGAGAAGTCTCATCATAGAAAATGGAGAAACCTCCTCTGTTGTACAAGATATAAAACTGAAAGTTGATTCTTTCAAACAGAAATTAGAGGTTGGTGATGTAAGGTTTTTATTGTTTTCCAAGAGTGACAACTTACACAATTTCCTTGTGGGAAACATGTGCATGTCAAACTATGTACACTGTATACAGCTGTACCGCTGAATTCCTTACTAAACTATAAACTGGTACAGCGGCTAGATGTGCCGCAAAACAGGGTATGGGTCTTAGGTCTTCCTTGTCAGGTATCTATTGCTTACAGGGTTCGTACATAGTCTTGAATTCTTGAAAACGTCTTGACATTTGCCCAGCACTTTTCCAGAACTGGAAAAAGTCTGTAAAATAGAGGTAAAGTCTTGAAAAAATGGTAAAAAGTCTTGATTTTTTTTTTTAAAGCTACAACAAGTACTTCTCAAGTGAAACGTTTTTTGTGTTTGTGAAATCTTATTCAATCTTGCCTGCCTGTCATGGAAAAAGCTTTGTTCCTGTAGGATTTTTTTAAGCTCTCTATTGATCACCTATTTCATAACCTTGAGTCTGGAAAAAGAAATTATTGTTTTGGAAAAAGTCCAGTGAAAGTCTTGAATTTTGGATAAAAACTCTGTACAAACCCTGTAAGAGAGAGCCATGCATCTTAGTCCTTTACGTCTCAAGAGTGACCAAGATCAATTTTCTCCTAACAACATCAGCAGATCCTCAAGAGTAAGGGTTATGAGAATTAGTAAAATGATCACCAAAGAGAAAATGCTGTGATCTTTTATCAAATTCTCTCAACTAATTCTTTATGCAAATGTATGGAGATCAGTTTTGAGAATTTGTCTGTGGATATTGGGAGCTTAAAGGCTCAACACCCATGTTTTCATAGTCCTTACCGCAAATTACAGATACTTATTTTTTTCCTTTGATTTATGGCCAGCATGTTCATGCTTGGGCTATAAATTGTTGAACGAAAACTTGGTCTGTAATTTTCACTTGGTTGGTGAGAGTTATTGTGTATTTTTTCTTTTCATATAGAGTGTAGAACACTTAAGTTGGTTAGGCCTTTCTAAAGAGATGTCAAGGTACTGTATGTACTGTTGTAAGATAGTGGATTTTAAAGTAATGTAATATTGATTTATGTCGTCATGTCAAAAGAGCTTGTGTTTTCCTCTTAAACACAGGACATGTCTATTCCTGGAGACATACACTACACACTGACAATCAAACGGCATGCAATTGATTGAGCAAATATAAAGTTCATGTTCGATAGCCCGTGGCTAGAGATTTAGCTATCAGGCTAGTGAATTCTATTCTTAACTTGCCCGGCAGGCAAATGAAGTTTCCTTGGGAATTCAAATAACAGAAGAACTGTAATCAGTTTTTTTTCAAAAATTTTTTTTGAGGCTAGTTGAAGTGACTTTTAAGGCTGTACATGCTAGCTTGAGCTTGGCCAAATAAAAGTAACTGACTCTCTTTGCACCTTGTCAAACCTATCTTTGTCTACCTTGAACATTTCGTTTTGTCTGAAAAATTTTAATGATTTTTTCCCATTTTTAGTGGTACATCTAAAAGACCATCTTCTGAAAAACACAGTTTACGTAAAAGATCCTCTGGAGAACTCATTGTTGTACTTGACAAGTTCAAGAAGTTATCGTAAGTTAGTTTTCTAGTGAGTAATTTAGAAAATGTTACCCTGTGAGGAGAGGTTTATTTCTGGCATGACTGTTTAAAGCGCTTTCTCATCCATCTACTTTTTAATTGCATCTTTCTTTCCTCTTTAGGAATGCAGAACTCACTGAGCAGACCCGAAATCTGTTAAGAAAGCCTTCATTTGATAACTGGTATGGGAAATTCATTCTTATTTTCAAATTTTCTTTGGTATATCAGGGCTTAAACAAATCTCCATCCTATTTTGGGACAAGTAGCAAGTAACTTTCTTGCTTACTTTGCCAATGGTTAAAGGCCCAGGTCAATTATCTTGTAAACAAATTTGGAAAAGGATGCAATAGCCTTGGCAAGCAAAATTTGAACCCTTTCTTATTTAAGAACAAGCTAAAATTCAATTTTCTTCAAGCCCTGTATGTGTCAAAATACAGGAAATAATGTGATGGCTTTGTTAAAAGAATTCCCAAGATAACAGTTCAAATCCAAGCGTCATTTCATAAGTAGGCCTGGTGGAGTACCAAATAGGATTGTTGTTGGCACTTTTTGGCATTGATGTCTCGACAACCCATGCAGTAAAGTCATCTTTAGAGTCAAAGTGAGTTGTATAACGTTAAACTTTGGTTATTGACGTGATTGGTCAATTGAGTGGTGATGTTTTGGTCGTCTGTCAGTTAAGCTGGAATGTTATTTGGCATTAAGACTGCAAATGTGATTAATTGCCAGGTCATGTTGACAATGTAGTCATCTTCAGAGTCAAAGATAGTTGTATCTCGTCTGTTGAAGGTTTTAATCTCTGGTTTAACCTAAGTGTGTGAGTTTCTTTTCTGTAGGTATTTCACGTAAAGATTATACACCTTTTGTCTTTTCAGGCAGTGGGAAGATGCAGAAATGTTGTATTTACTTCAGCAGATGTTTATAGACTTAAACTTAATGGAGAAATTTCACATTGAGGTAATAAACTTGTGTAAAAGAACCTTTGTTCCGTTAGTTATTGTAAACGACTCGTTTGAATTGAAAAAAAAACAAAAACAAAAACAAAAAAAAAGCACTTTATTTGAGTGTCAATGTATTTAGCACGAAAGTACTAATTGGGGACACTATGTTTTACGTCTCCAACTGGAGACGGGACCGCCATTTTACGTGGTCATCCGAGCCACGCGAAGGTCTAGCCTGTTGCAGTGCAAAGGGAGTACCTTCATTTCTCGGTTATTTTAAGACCCTGAGTATTGGTCCGGCCTCAGGAATCGAACCCGCGACCTCCCGCTCTGCAGTCAACACGCTCTACCGACTGAGCTAACACTGCCGCGGTACAAAGTAGCAGAAAGTGAAGAAGGGTTTGTATGGAGTTTTCTAAGCATAACTGGGCTACGATCTCAGCGACATTTTGCCCCGAAATGCTCATTTTTGGCAAGTAGGCCTCTTGGACATTGTTCTTTCAGAATATCCTGACAAATCCCATAATTTCAGAAATTTCATTTTTATGACGTCATCACTTTAGTACTTTATTAGGGTTTTCTTTGGCGGGAAAACGAACAGTCCATGTTTTGATCTTTTCATCCATTGGCTGATAAAACAAATAACAAACACTTACCGAAACCATTTTTCAAGGTCATAGGAATGAAATCGCTCTATGGTAATACGCGTTCTCAAAGATATTTCGTCTTCTGCTGTCCACTCCTTTTCTGAAGAACTGAAAGTCATCCAATGTTGTTCGCTTTTTTCTTGATAGTACAGCTCATTTTTTCGTTGTCGTTTTGTGTTTTTGCTCAGAAAGGCTGCTATGTAGCAAAAGCGTATCCCGTCTAAGCTGATTATTCCTTATCTGTTTCTTTCACAGAAACCCATCCTTCAAAACTTCTTGTTTGAAGTTTTCAGGAATTACAATGCGACTCCTTTCCATAATTTTAGACACGCATTCTGTGTAACACAAATGGTGAGAAAACGTCGACATAATTCTCTTGTTTGTCACTTCTTAATTGTCCAGTGTGACCACTTTTCGTGACACTTCTTTCGTGACCTTTGACTGTAACGGGGCTGTGTCACGAAATTTATCGGTGCGAGGAAATAAAAACAACCGACAACAGTAAAAGAAGGTACATATAACACAGCGTATACAAAAGAAGGCACGGTGGAAAAACTTGAAGAAGATTATTATAAAACCGACTGATGTTGTAGTTTTTGAAAGCTCGTCCGGCTAACAGTTTTATTTTTCAAAGTTCATTTTTGTTTAGTTGTTTGTAATGTTTAATATGCATTAGTCATTTATTCGCTAACGTTGCAAAAAGTCATGATAAGTTCCATTGCAAATAAGGACGGGTAATTGACGGATCCCCTAAGCCAAGAGTCTCCCCTAGCCCCTTAAACTCTGATCACAAAGCCTTATTTTATCTTTTCATATCAGATGTATGGCTTGATATGGCTGACGCAAATTCCCAGGAAAGTGCAGGACTGTGATGTTTTGGTGATGCTGACGTCTGCTTTGTGTCATGACTTGGACCATCCTGGTTACAATAACGCCTACCAGGTAATTTGATCCTTTTATACTTGACTCAGTCTACACTGTTCAATAGCGCTTTGATTCCTCGTTAGCCTGCGTGCGGAACGCGTGCAATAAGAGAAATAGTAGGCTAGTTTCTCGTAGGTACTTCGATCGTAGAAAGCGCAAAAAGATCGGAGAGTGGCAAGGGGTAAGGCTAATGGCCTCAAAACAGGTTTCCCGATTTAGTTCAATGATGGTCAACTACAATTCGGGATTCTCCGGGTAGCTAGCCGGATTCTGGATCATAATTACGAGCTGGACACGGTCAGTTTGGGACTCGGCAAGTGTTGTGTTAGTAAGCCCTCAGCCCTCGTACTTAGACGTCTCTTTCTCTATGAAAACCTGCGCGCAAAGGAAGGCGGGAAGGAGAAAACGGGCGAGACATCTGGCAGATTTTTCTCCTTCCTATGGTCCCTTACACTTCGTCACCAGTCACTCGTGTTTCGCGCTCGCCTCTGTGGGAAAAACAAAGCGCCGGAGGTTGCGGAGGAGGCAGACTCGCGCATGCTTCCCTCGAAGCTTCTTGTTTCCAAGGTGATTTGCCACAAGAGGATGGTGGGTTTGTAAAGGGTAACAGTTACTGACAACAGTGACTGACAGTTATTTAACCTTGTAGAAAAAAACTGTTTTAAAATTTGGAAATCAGTTCATCATGTTTATAAATTTCTTTTCTTTAAGGTAAATGCCAGAACAGAGCTTGCCATACGATACAACGACATCTCCCCACTTGAAAACCACCATTGCGCCGTGGCATTTGACATCATCTCTCAGGTAAAAAATTATTGGATTTGATTAAGCTTGGCCTTACTTTGTTAGACACGGCGTTGTGTGCCATGATGAAGTAAAATTGGCTTCGAAGTCTTTTTACATGTTTTTACGAGAAATGGTGTAAAGGATGTCGTGATATGCACTTATAGTTCTATGTATTCTTTTTCCCTCATTTCAGCCTCACTGTGACATTCTCAAAAATGTTAGCCAAGACGTATTCAGGAAATTCCGCGAAGGAATGATCAAGTGAGTTCTCAAAGACTGAAATTAAAAACATGTAACAATTATAAAAAGTTGTAAGATTGTTGCCGAGTCTTTTCTCTACTTAGTAGTTTTTCTCTTGATTTTAAAAAAAAATCAAAGGTTAGATCAAATCATAGCTATTTTTTAATGTTACAAGACAATCAAGGTGCGTGGGATTTGTAGCGGAGGATTAAATTTGAGTTCTAGACATGTTACTATAGGTTTAGCCAGCGAATACCAGGCTGTTGTCCCTCCACGCTCCTCGCCGCTAGGGAAGTTGTCTCGTGCGAAACGTTCCCAGCGGGAGGAAAGACGGCTGTATTCGCAGGCTGCTATAGGTTAGATGGTGACGTTATTTAATGTAGTTAATTACGTCATAAGCTATTGGCCCTTTCTCATTCATCCTTCCATGTCGATTCGAACGTACGCAAAAAAACACAAACCCAACGGTGTGGTTTCTATACCTTTCATGGGTTGTGTGGGGAAAGGAATTGATACGAGCCCGCAGTCGCGAGTGGTTAGGGACCTTAAGATGCGAGGACCGCGACGGCAGGTAAAACGTGGCTTAAAAGGTGAATTCGGGGTTTTTCAATCTTCATCGCGATTTTTCCATTTCGCTCACTTTGTCGAAAGTCCGCGTACTCTCCTGGAGTTGAAGTCCTAAGAGCCTTATAACAGTTTAGAAAGAGAAGGAAAATTTCGTCGTTGCTTGTTTACGTGCGCTAAAAAATATGAAACTAGGCACTTTCACGTTGTAGTCGTGCAACGACGGCAAAGAAATGTACAAAAAAGCGTGATGACACGTGCAAAGTTGTTGTTTTGCTAATTAAACGTATTGCTTTTTTGCTGTTCTCATTGTCGTCGACGTCGTCGGATCTTAAGGTCCCTGTTGTCTTGTCCTTGTCAAGTCTGATGAAACTAACAAAATTATGTTAAAATTATCTGTTAAAGAGAATTCAGTATTAATCTCTTTTTGCAGATGTATTTTGTCCACTGATATGGCAAGACACAATGAGATCCTAAACAAGTTCAAGGACATTTTGGCTGATGGATTTAGCTTTGAAAACGAGGCACACAAGTCCATGGTAAGAAATCTTTTCGGTTGTCATGGTTACTTAGGGACGTGAGGGAGTACTTGTAAAGGCTTTTGATGGTAACCTGTCAATTCGCGCGAAAGTCATCTCGCCCGAAACCAGAGTTATGTCGCCCGAAATTTTACTGAAGAGTGATGCAATATATCTCGTTCTTTAAACGATAATGAGACGAAACAAGCGGGGTTACTCTGTAACATATCTCGTTCTTTAAGCTTTGGTGAAACGAAACAAGCGCAATAAATGAGTAATATATCTCGTTCTTTAAGATTTGGTGAGACGAAACAACCGCGATAAAGATGTTAGGATGTTGTTGAGAATGATAAGATTTTGGGCGACATAACTCAGCTTTTCGGGCGAGATGACTTTCGGACGTCTTGACCGTAAACCCTTTAGCTGAAGTAAAACAGAGTGTACATTGCGGTAAGGGTAGGGCCTGACTCCCATCTCTTGATTAATTTCTCTTTTGCAGTTAATGCAGATAATGATCAAAGTATCGGATGTGTCAAATGAAGCCCGGCCGATGGAAGTTGCTGAACCGTGGCTGGATTGCCTTTTGCAAGAGTTCTTTATCCAGGTTTGTATTCGCTTTTAATGATAAACTTAAAGAAACGGTGTTATAAACGCAAACAGGTCTCTTTGGGATCATGATACGTTTCTGGGAAACTGCCCACCTACCGCTCCCCTAAGTCAACATTTTGCCCTAAGTGAGAATTAAGTGTTAATGTTGACTTATACAAATGCGGAAAACATATGCACTTAAGCAACGTTCACTCGGTGTCGGACAATATTTAAACCGGTTGAAAATTCGTGTGTTTAGGTGTTTCTTTCACACGGAACCACCTTAATCGTACGAAAAGTCAAACACTTGGTCGTTCAAAGTTCCGTGAACGGACAGAAAATATTGAACGGTCTCGTATGAACGAAGTGTCCGGTCAAATATTCTGGCAGTCGAAAGTTCGTCCGGTGCCGTGTGGGTGCTAAGCGCGGTCAAAATTTATGCACCCGGTGCCGAAAACGGGAAAGTATATGTACCGTCTGCCGAACGCGGGAAAATACATGCTTTACCTGCCGAGCGCAAGAAATATATCCACCGTGTGCCTAGCGCGGGAAAATATATGCAATGTCTGCCTAGCGTGTACCAAACGAAAACATGCACCCTGTGCCAAACGCTCGAAAGCATTTGCATTCAATATCAAATGTGAGAAAATATATGCACAGTCTGCCGAGCGAGGAAAAATATATGCACTACCTGCCGACCACGGGAAACTATATGCATTTACAGCATTGTCTGCCGAGCGCTGGAAAATATATCCACCGTTTTTCAAACGAGAAAATATGCTCCAAGTAGCTCCCAGTGCCAATCGCAGAAAAGCATTTGAACCCAGTGCCAAAATTGCTAAAGCGCGGGAAAACATTTGTGCCAGGTACAATGTGTGGGAAAGCATACATGCGGTCATGTAAAGTCTGTAAAAATACAAATGGCGCAAAAATCGCTGGGCAAAAAATTTAACGCATGCAACCGGGGCTAAGCGCCGGAAAAGCTATGATCCAAGACATCTGTGTAGGAAAATGCTCCAACCTGATTAGTGGAGAGTTTTTAAAAGAATTTCGAGGAAGTGTACATGAGCTTTGTATTACGTACACGAGCCGCAAAATTTCAGGCCAAGTATAAATATAGCTAAAAAAAACTGAAAGTCACAGTGGAAAAACTGAAAGCCTAATCTTGGATTAAAACACCAATCACAGTCCTGCAATAAGTATTTTGTCACTTTTTTTTTCCTTCGTGTTTAGAGTGATGTGGAGAAGCTGGAAGGCTTACCAGTAGCACCATTCATGGATAGAGATAAGGTTCGGTATTTGTTTTGTGCAATTCTCGACCAATCGATTTATTTATTTGACTTATGTCCTTTATTTATTTGTTTGCCTGTTTGTTTGATTGTTTGTTTGCCTTTTCAGCTCTTCCCTCTCGTCTGTATGTCTCTGTGTATACTCATATTGTTGAATAAAAGTTGAAAAGCATGCATTGGTGCTTATGACGTCATATCTCGTAACCATAGTAACTGACCATGTGTTTTTTGTCCGTCTCAGGTGACCAAGCCATCGGCTCAAATTGGTTTTATTCGATTTGTTTTGATCCCACTATTTGAAGCACTTGAACAACTCTTTCCAGTCTTGGAGGTACTTAATACTCATATATTTAAGTTCTTTTCCACAGCAATCCAGTTACCTACAAAATCTGTGTCTATTTAAGAAAAACCATAACTATAACCAAGTCCTGCAGTCATACGCATAACGTACCCATTTTTGATACCATCCCAGTAAACCCAGTGGCGCACTGAAATATTTCTATACACGATTAAGTTTTTAAAACTCTGTTGTTGCCGGGTTTTGAAATGCGTACAATTTGTTAGGTAAATTGGGCTCATGGGTTGGGCTTTGGTAGGTGGGATGGATTGATTCGCAGCACGTAAGGCAAAAAAGCGTTACTTTAAGGGCCTGCTTTCAGTTGGGGATCTTCTCCCAAAAATATAGGTAAGAAAATCCACACTATTTTATTTACTAATTCCAGCTGTCACAAGACTGCAAACCAGACAGACTTGTAAAGCACTTGAGAAATATCTACTTAAGCTGTCTGATCTTTTGGTCACAGCTCAACACAATCTCCATTGTTATGGGGCAGGGCTACTATCAAATAGGAGTTTGACTAGATAGCTAGTTACTCACGCATACTTAAGTTTCTATGTTTTTACGTACAAGACATTTTATGCAGTTTGAGTCTATAATCTGTGACGGAGTCACCCTGCTCCTAAAAAGAGCTGATTCGCCGACAATTTCTCCTTTTAAAAACACATTGCCTTTCCCCAACAGTAAAAGAACCGTTCATTGGCGCCGACTCTTTTACAAGGTATTCATGGCGTGCTCTCTGTTCTGTTTCCTCACTAGGAGCATCTTGTGGAGCCCGTTCGAAAAGCCTTGAATTACTACACTCACATGGGTAAAACAATGGAGGAAGAACTTAAAAAAGAGCAAGTGAAAAAACACTCGAGAGAGGAGAACGAAAAGGTTACAAAATTTTCTTTCCCAGCTGATAATAACTCACCCACTAATGTTGTAATTTTAATCTCTGTAGGTAAGCAACATCGTCTGTTTTTGTCGACGAGAAAAGTATATTTTCTTTGCTCTAAAGAGTGAACACAATAATGCAACATTGGGAGTTTAAACCAGTCAGCGTAGATACCTTTGGGGAAGACTTTAGTGCTATCAGGCAAATGAAAGCTATAGAGCACTGAGTACCTTTGAAATTCAGTAGTTTCTTATGTTGTGGAAGTTCGTTCAGACTTTTGGTTTGTGGATGCAAACATCAGCATTAAAAACCCCACACTCTACAGTATTAACCTCAGTTTTTTAAAATGACATCGTCCACTAACATTTCTTGCTTATTCAGGTAGACATACAAGAAGATAAACAAGATCTGAAAATTGGGCTTGAAGATGGACACTCGAGAGAGGAAAAGACAGAAACAATTGAAGCCTTGGAAGATAAACCAGAAATATTAATATCAATAAAAGAAAAAGAGGACTTACAGACCACTGAAAAGGAAAACGTAGGAGTTGTAGAGACGACGAAAGCAAAACAACAAGAAGAAAAACTAGACAACAAGGAGTCCACGAAAGACTGAAATTGAGCTCAAAGCGTGCGCGTTCCCTCTGAGCAAAGGGCCTTTTTTAAGCCAGAAAACGGTATTTTCTGAAAGGCGAAAACAGTTTCTCATCTACACGGGCATTATTTAAAAATTGTAACCTTAAATTTGCTCATCGCGACGGGGCTTAAGTAACGTTCTATACCTGATTCTCTTCATTGTCCGAAAATACTCCAAGCGGAATTTTACAGCGTGGATAGTCAAATTTGTTCATCGCGACGAGGCTTAAGTAACGTTCTATACCTGATTTTCTTCATTGTCCAAAAATACTCCAAGCGGAATTTTAAAGCGTAGATCGTCATTTGCCACAAAAACGCATTACAGCACCGTTGACCGTTGTTACATCCCGCCGCGGGGGCGGGGGGCTGGGGTAAGGGGTGTGTCAGGACGCCTATGAAAGTGGTAAAAGCATTCTAATTATATTTACCTATTTATTGTTAGATTATGAAAAACGAATTCATATTTTCATACTCTTGTACCATGTTGAGAAAAATTGAGAACTATTGTATTTACCACATCTTGCATGAGCTGGCTTATTCATAGAATGATTCGCAATGAAACGTTACTATCAAAGAGTATGTTTTCATCACAAAAATTTATAGTAAGAAATTGTAATTTGCAGAAGCGGATCCAGGGGCAGCAGGGGGGGGAAGGTTAGGCTGTGATAGATTGTGCTCGAAAAAGTAGCATTATTTGCTACTAGCAGTGCTTTTCTAAAATTGTGCCAATAATTATGCCAGTTTTTGTAAATTATGCTCATTGAAGGCAAATATGCAGAAATTATGCTTCTACTTTTTACTTCAAATTTGGTAATGATACTTCAATAACTGTGCACCAAACAAGTAAATGGCAAACACATTTGCCCTATTTACATCCAGAAACTCTAAGAGTGCATAATTCATTCTCTTAAAACTATAAATATTCAACAAACAAAAAACCGGCACAAGGACGCCATCTTGGGCAACCGAGCCAGTCAGTTATGCGCATGCGTTGAGTCTTGTGGAAAGGTCCGAGGTCACTTCCTGTGGGACCCAGGTCCCATGAATGCGACAAGGGTAGAAAAAAATATTGGTTTCATGATCATTAAATGACAATTTTCTGCGGCAAAACTAGCCAAAAAGGCAAATTATGCTAGCAGTGCTCTTTTTCGGGAAATACTTGAAAATTAAGCTCGTAATGACGAATTATGCCAAAAATTAGCCAGGAGCCTGTGCTAGCACCATCTATCAAGCTTGGCCCGGTGCTGGGGGGGGGGGGGG